GGGGGGGAAATACATGTACTGTCGTGAATTTTTCTATTTGGATTTTTCTGTTTTAAGAGTCTCTTAACTTGGATATAGCAACAGTTTCTCTAAAAATGATATAATTTGTAGACACTGCTTTTAAATTGTTTGTCTTGTTCGATTACCTCGTCTGTTTTACTTTTTATTCCATTCATATTGGTAAGTCCGAGAACAGAACAGCTGGTTAACAACGATTTATTTTCACTTGAAACAATCCTTTTTCTTGTTGTCCTTACTTTAAACCTGAAATAAATTATAAAATGACTTCGGTGAGAATTTCAGTTGTTGCAAACTTTTAATCAAACGGCTTGATCAACCGAATTATTAATTATTCACGTCGCATCGTGAGGATCGATTAATAATTAACGCGACGTTCTATGTACACGATCGTTAACGAGAAATTATTAAGAGTACATATATAATCACGATTATACGTCGACATGTTCAGTGAATCCGATATCGTGTCATTTTGCGTTTTAATTGTAATTCGAGTGTTTTGGAATAATTTTTGTAGAAATCAATCGAATGATTCGTTACGACGGGACTTGATATTCAGGGCATTAGAATTCTTCGCGATAGACACTCCATTAAATGCGATTAAATCATTGGAGAGGAGTTTCACACATCTTTTCACGCACTTTTTTAAATAATTGAAGTGTACTCGTGGAAGACGTTGCAGATACAAAAAGTCAAATTTTTCAAGACGAAAAGAAAGTTACTTAAATTCAAATTACAGTGGAGTATTCTATAAGAAATTAATTCATCCTAGAATCTTGTTCGTTGTAAGATTGTATGTACATGTACACTACCATAAATATTTTTTTTGTTGTCAATAATTTGTATATAATAATATTATTATATTACAATTAAAGTACATAATGCTGCAACCATGGTACATACCAAGTATACACCGTGGTATACTAGTATAATATTATGCTATATAATTAAGTTATCCCATAACTTATAACTTCCAAAATGTCAAAATTTAAAATCAACAAATCACTCGATCGACGATACTATTCGAACGATCGATTCTGACAGAATTATCGTAGATCGTGCTAATATTTTATGCGCAACATTACCAAGGCATCAGGGAATAGTAGATCACAGTGCTTTCGAGCTTTCCAGCCGCCACTCTTTCTCTGTACACGAGAATTAGTCAGCGAGGCCCGAAGGAAATGGTGGTTTATTTTAGGGATCTCTGAAAATACGCGTACACGTCCCATCGTTGAGACACAGTTGCTTGTCGTTGCCCTGCAATAGGATCATGGCTCTCGAACGGTGTCTACTTTCGATCGTAGTGATAACGATTTCGATCGGTATGTACTTTTCTCTGTTCTTTTTCCACTTTCTCTTTTCCCTGTTTTACAGTAAACGCCAAAACGAAAACATCACACACAAATTTCCTATGTCGAACCATTTAAAAAAAATACCTCGAAATATGTATGAAAACAGAAGAATTTTAGGGCCATTTCAGTATCGCAATCGATAAATAAATGGAATAAAATTGATACTGAAACATTATGTAGCTGGTTACGAAAAAATATTTTGAAAATAGTGTCAATGGTTCAATCTAAATCAAACTGGCTTGCTAATTTGAGCCATAGATATTCTAAATTGGACCATTATTATAAATAACGATTTTTATTTGAAGAACATACTATGAAAAAAAATAAAAAGTTACTCTAAAAAGTGTACTAAAATAGTCTGGATATGTATATCTAACTAAATAATCAATCGTTGTTTGGCTATATTTTTTGAAAAAATATATTATTTATTACCTTTCTAATATTTTAAGATTTCAACTTGAAGCCTTTTTCAACGATCATGCGAGATTCTAGTGTATCTCTTTGTTCAAAGTCCTCCTCTTTGATAATTTCGATTTTCAGAAAGCCACGAAATAATTACATTTTTTTTCTCTTTCAGCTGTATCGCCGATCTTCACGTGGAATCCGGATATTAACCGGTGGGTACAACTCAGTTCCTTTCGATTCTCCAATTACTATTAAGACACTTGCCGCCAATGTTTTTTTTTTTCACTTTACAAAATAAATAAAGATTATAAAATTATCTCAATTCCCTTTCTCTCCTCTTGTCTAGCAAACAATACAACTTAATGGTAACTGAACTTAGTCGTGAGGCTTACGAAAAAAGAATTTATCACATTTAAACAATCATGAATGTGTTGATTGGAAACACAAAATTATTTTTCCTTCAAAAACTCAATTACAGCCTTCTCAACTAAATCGTCCCCCTGAAATGTTTAATTAAAGTTTGACCAATGTCACTCTTGTTAACTATGCGTTTAATTTTACAAGCTACGAGAGTTACAATCTGGAAAAAGGTCCAGTCTTCTACGAAGCTTATTATCCAGACGCCAACGAGAAACCACGTGGCAACTATCAAGAGAAACGTTACTTCGATCAAGGGACGATTCTGGAGAAAACTTACCAAGTACCCTCCGAGCATCTCGCGTATCCGGGGGACAATATTCAATTGGATAATTATCAGAACAGAGCCGATACCATCCGAAATGACAATCGTTTCTTCTTTGAAACGAACGCGCGGCCTTTGGACGTGAAAGAGATCTCGAAACTGGCCAGAAGAGCGATTACCCGGGATTTGGAAAACTGGAACACCATTGAAAATTATTTGGATCACGCCAAGTATCAGGATCTCGTGTATCGTCGTCAATACGTCATCCCTGAGCGAGGATACAGAATCGAAGAACCGATTCGTCGAACGGAGTCGAATCTACCAGATCCCTTGAATGAACAGCGCGATTTAAGAAGAGATCTCTACGAAGAAGTTCGAGAAGAACCTTTAGCCTTATCCAGTCGCGTTGAATCAAATGAAGGCCAGAGAAGATTGACTGTGCGTGACCTTACTAACAAAGATTCCTTGGGATCGTTCAGATCGATACGGTACGAGGATCAATCGCCAAGAGAACAGGATGTGATACAAGCTGTAAGAACGAGCCAGATAAATGCGCCATCGATGAGAAACACTGATCCATCGAATTCAGGTTCGATCGTGGATCCTTATCCAACGGAAAACATTTTTGCACCGCGACCCCAGGTGATCAATTACATTTTCTCGAGGAAATCGGAAATAAAAGAGAATGCGGAGAATAAGGTTCAAAGTTTGCCTGAAACAAAAGAAACTGGTGAACGTATGCCTAGGAATTACGGAGATAATTTGATTCAGGATGAAATGAGGAAAACTACGGAGGACAAAGACGTGAAAGTGACGTCCATCGAAGTTAGCGAGGTACCTAGACATAAGACTCGCCATCATCACGGGGAATGGCCAAAACGCGATTATCCTCGCCGTCATCAGTCGTAAAATTTGTAATTCTCGTGTATAGGGCTTGTTCGAAAAGAAAATGCAATTGATTTATCGTTAATTTCAAGTTCTTTCAAAGGATGTTCAGGACGAACAATATTTTATTTTCAAGTATAGTATGTAGTTGAAATATTTATTTAATATGATATATTAGTATGATACAACAACGATACAATTTTCTATATAACAATATATAGACATTTCGCTACGTCTTGCTCATTTAAACATCACTTTATCATCACATTTATGTAACTGTACATGACTAACAAGCGATAACACCGCATATATATGTATATATATATACATATAGGAAAATATGTAATTTTGTTTTCGCGCTCATGGAAGCAACAACATGCTGATATTCAATAAATAAAATGATTCAGATAATGTTAGAATGCATAAACAATGTACAAATGTGATAAACGATAAACGATAGTAATGTTAATTGTTTCGAAAGCGTTGATTTTCATTTAACATGAACGTATGTTAAAAATATCGAATGTAATTTTTTAGAAATATTGGCGATCAAATAAAAAAAAAACGTGTGAAATATGTTTAACAAAAGGCGAACAGGAATGTTTAAGTAATGCCTTTCTTTCTGATAAAATGGCAATATGATACATTTAGGTGTAATTAAATTTATGAATGAATCTCGGATACTGTAATAATTATACTATGATGAGGACAAAACCACAAGTACTTTATAAGTAATCTACACTATTGGAACACAACTTCATCTGGTGAATAGTCTCAGTTAGCTACATCTAAAACATTATATTAATTTCTCAATTCTCTTTTTAGATATCTAGCCCATACTAAAATTCTATCTTCACATAAATTGACTGTTCTTTGTATACATTCGGCAAGATATCATTAATCTAAAATTATTTCACACCTTTCTTTGTATATTAAAGTATTAGACTAATAAAATTTCACTGAATCTATACAACTTACGCAGATACTGTATTACATGTTTACTACTCAAATCGAATGAGTAGAAATATGTACAGAACTGTAAAATAAATTACAAAAATAACTTAACACATAACTGTTACTTTACATACAATTATTCTCTTTAAACACCAAATTGAAACAAACTGCGTGAACATTCTGCATATCCTTGTTTCCTTATTCATAATTTTACTTTAAATTATAAATTCTTAATCTTTGCTTTGCAATGTCTTTAAAGTTAAATAATATTAATTTGTATTTTTATATTAATACTTATATTAATGCATATAATAAACTTATAGCATCCTATATATATTTACTCTATGAAAGTCAATTTAGTGTTGTATAAAATTATTTCGTTAAATCTATTCTTTCATCTATTAATTCAAGCTTCGAGCATGAAATCGGCATGCGTTTCATCTTGTTATAATTATCTGTTATTACAATTTACGTGATGATATATAAAAATAATTATAATTTAACTTTAAAGAAGACTATACCTTTAGGAAACATGTTTAATATCCTGTAAAGTATTGAAAACAGATATAAATGTTGTTAACTAGTAACTATATGATATGTATATACTATTTACTATACCTGTTTCACCTTGCTTCAGGTTTGACATCACAAATTTTTTTAGTTCCTCATATGCCTTAGAAAAATTATCATTTTCAATCACTATATCAAAATTACCAGACTTCTCTCCTAAAATAATTCTGACGCTATACAATTCTGAAGTATATTTCTTAGTATATAAGTATACGTATTTCTTTGTTTAACATAAAGGTACATATCAAATGCATTCAAGTTTTTAAGAAAACAATAAATTAACTTATGACACTTACCATATTCTATCTCTGTTCTAGCAACAGATAATCTTCGCTGCAAGGTATCTTCAGTTTCTGTTTTCCTAGCTCTTAACCTTTTCTCCAATTCCTCGATAGATGGTGGTTTAATAAATATATAAAAGGGATCTAAAGAACTTTGTTTTATTTGCTTTATACCTTGCATATCAACATCTAATACACAAATTTTGCCTGCTTCCTGTACATCCTCTACTGCACGTTTGCTGTAAAAGAAAATTTACATGTAACAAACAAAAGTTACTATTTTTTCTGTTGTTTAGTTAAATTTGATTTTTACCTGGTACCGTACATATTCCCACTATATACGGCAGTTTCAAGAAATTCATTCTGTTCTATCTGCTTTTGCATTTTATCCTTAGTAGTAAAGTAGTAATGTTTTCCATCTTCCTCACCCTCTCTAGGATTTCTAGTTGTATGAGATACGGAATAACCAAACGTATCTGGAAATTCTTCAAAAAGTTTCTTTATGAGAGTACTTTTGCCACTTCCTGAAGGACCACACAAAACTAATGGACGTGGACCTTTATGAAGCATATTACAAGTCCCTAAAAATAAATGCAATAGCGTCACAAAACATTAATTTATCGTTGAATTCACAAGAAAATGCAAAATGCTTTTCGCTTGAATTCAATCATTTCATACCTAGAATTAATGTTCTAAAATATGAAACTGATGTCATACTTGCACGTATTTATAATTCAATTAATTTTCACACGGTCGAAGGAAACGTGTAAGTGCAGGCATATCTAATGTTGTATTTATGATGAATTTGATACAAATCGACGAAAGGTATGGTGGACCAAAAATACCGAAAACATAATTGACAGCACAATTAAAATAAACACGCGATACAAAACGAGAATAATATAGATAATTACTTTATACTTGCAATACCTTGAGATTCTTAAACACGATTAAAGTGCAGTATCTTCGGAATATTGATTTCTTGAAAGGAAATGTGTTCGAGATTGTGCAAGTTGTTTAATAAAATAAAACTAATTAACCTAAATTAGACGTATTGAAGAATTCAAAAATCTTTTTAAAAATCTCATACTGCAATTAATATATACGTAATTTCAATTTTTACAAAACATGTTGAAACACGAGATCATTGTATGAAAACGCTAACGGTATACTTTTTCATTTTGACAAACAAATAAAAAATTTGATGAACATTGAGTCTCACCTTTATAGATAGTTGAATTTTTCAAAATGTATAACACAATAATAAATACTACTAAATGTGTGGTAACAGTTTTATAGCAAAACGAAATCCACAGTCTGAATAACCACGTTTTCACTCGACAATAAGCGACTGCGCGTATGCTGCTGCATAGTGAATCACGAGCATTATATATATGACGCATACACTATAGACATCTATGGTAGAAATTATAGAAATTTATATACAAAAATAAATGTGTACATTTATGATAAGAGAAATATTAAATATTTTTACTTTATTATATAATTATGAATCTTTTTTTTTATAAATTATATAAATAATTTCATATAAAGTACAAATTTATATAGTGTAATTTATTTCCATTTTTTTTTTTATTATAACTGATACTCTTTTTATAAGTTTCTATAGATTTCTAACAAAATTATCATTCCTGAGAATTACATGATCGTTTATTTGTATATGTTCTGACTAAAAATAGAATATGAAATTTAAGGAACAACTATTTAATCATTTTAACTACAATCAAGTAGAACTTGTTTTATTATATACAATTAATAATTTATTTAACAAAGTACTGATCAAAAATTGAAGTAGATATATACCTCATTTTTACATTTTATTAAATATATATATAGATTTTTTTCATAAATATTTATATTATTCTTAATATTTAAATGGTAATTATGTATAATATAGATTATAAGATTTAAAGTTTCTCTGACAATCCATTTTTATATCATATTTAAATCGAAAATATGAATTTAAATACACATTTCCTATTCTATACACATACACATATTTTAATCAGAATAAGGATGATTTCAGTGATGCAAGTTATATCAACTCTTATAAAATTATAATTTTTATATGTAGCTAGTACATTACTAGCTACATTTGAACATTGCACAAATAATACTAGATTTATATCAACAAAATATAGTCTTGTCATATACGCAATCACATGCGTAAGTCGTAATTCTTCATATCTTTTTCTTCAAGATAGAAATAAGATCATTTTAAACTTCAGTAGGACCAGTAGGTTTGGCTTGTGTTCTTCGTCGTGCCAATTCAGACATGACAACAGGACCAATATGAGGTGATCTTGGGCTGCTAGACATCGCTCTATATGTGGCTGCTACTGCTCTCTAAAAAGATGTTATTAATTTAATTTATATATTTATTTATGTTATTAATTTTATTATTACTTTTAATGTACATCTATAGAGAATATTAGGCTAAGAGAATATACCTTTAGGCTGTAAGGATCCCTAGTACTGTCAGGTAACACTTTCTGTGGAAGACGATGACGATTGGCAATCCACGGATATTTTAATATGGCAGCTGCAGTAGGCCTCCGATTAGGATCAACATGTAACATTCTTTTAACGAGTTCTTTAGCCTCATTTGAAATTTGACACCATATACCGCTTTCAACGTCAATATAACCAGGTCCGATACGATCTAGTATGTCTGTTGCACTATCACCAGGACTATTACGAAATGGAGTATATCTAAAATAAAATATAAAAATAATCTAATACCTAAATATTTACGTTCTTCAAGTTTTATGTAATCTAGCCTAATTACCCAGCTAACATAATGTATAACAAAACACCAAGTGACCAAATATCACATGCTGCATCATATCCCTGACGTTTCAACACTTCTGGCGCTACGAAATTCGCAGTATAACAAGGAGTCATTAACAAACCATTTTCTGCTCGTAACTGTTTCGCGAAACCAAGATCGCATAAACAAAGTGTCGATGGATCAGCCCCCAACTTTGAATACAATATATTAGATGGCTTTAAATCTCTATGAACGACCTATTGATTACATAAGCTCATTAATCAATAAACATGATAAAATATAAAAAGAAAAATTGCATAAATAGATAATTACTCCATTTTCATGAAGATAATTGACTACACTAGCTATTGTGTACATTACTTCGGCTGCTTCTTTTTCCGTAAGATTACGCCTCTGTAGTAATCGATCAAGTAATTCTCCACCGCGTAATAATTCTAGTACGAGATAAGCTCGTTTATCATCCTCGTGAACAGCTTTTAAAGTTACAATATGAGGATGTCTTCCATATCTCAATAAAATTTCTATTTCTTCTGTCGGATCTCTTTTTGATTTTTCAATTATTTTCACAGCATACTCTGCCTTGGAAGCTTTATGAACAGCTAAATAAACAGTGCTGTAACTTCCTTTACCAATCTCTTGTTTAAATTCGTATTCGTCAGTTATGGAAATGGGGCTCACGTAAGTCGGGAAAGTTGCACTAAGACTATCACAGTTTTTATATTCAGGAGTTTTTAAATGATCCTCAAGAAGGCATGGTGCAACAAAGCTAAATCCACGGAACAATTCGTGAGCATTAGCACTTGGTGGTACCCCAGGAGAATCTAAAATATCATAATAATTTTACTCATATATAATATAAATAATACTCAATTATATAATTCATACTACCTTTAGGCGTCTTACATGTAAATTCACTATCAAAATAAAATGCATCATCATCTTGACTAACAGCTGGTTTAAAAGGCGGTTTTATTTCTTTCTTATAAAGTGCATCCCAATCGATTGTCGCAAAAAACACGTGATTTTTTATCTCTTCTATTCCACCTGAAATAAATAAAAATAAGGAATGAATACAACATAATAACTATCTTTGTAATTTAAAAAAAATGCTATAAATGAATACCAGAGCCTAATCTATTTGCAGGGTTTCTCTTAAACAACACTCTGAGAAGCGCCTGTGCTTCCGGTGAAATATTAAGTGGCATTCCGAGTTTTGCTTTTAATATTTGTGTCATTGTTTCTTTACGGTTTGCACCATGAAATGGAAGCGCTCCAGTTAACATTTCAAACTAAAAGTTAAAAATTTGTTTAAATGATATTTAATGTATATATACCATTATACACAACATATTATTCCTATGCAACTAACCATAAGAACACCAAAACTCCACCAATCTGCAGCAAATGAATGTCCTTTTCTATTTACAATTTCAGGTGCCATATATTCTATAGTACCACAAAATGAATATGCTTTACAATCATCTAAAGGCTGTTTACTTAGACCAAAATCAGTTAAAGAAATATGACCTTCAGTATCAAGCAAAATACTGTTAAAAATAAAATAGATATTATAATATAGATACTGTTAAAAATAAAATTTATACAGTTTGTAATATTTGAATTATCAACAAATGATATGATACAAACTTTTCTGGTTTGAGATCTCTATAAATAATTCCAAGCTTATGTATGTGATCCAATGCAAGAGCAAGTTCAGCTAAATAAAATTTTACATCATCTTCAGTGAACATTACCTAGAACAATAATCATAATTATAATGTAAATCAGTCATGAAAACGTGATAAAACTATTAATACTGTAAACTATGTACCTCCTTAGCTAATCTTGAAAATAGATCACCACCTCTTAGAAAGTCCAAAATTAAATAGAGATTTCCTTCTGTTTGGAATGCATAATGTAATCGAACAATGAATGGATGCTCAACATCCACTAATATATTTCTCTCCATTTTTGTCCTAACTCTGTCCCGAACTGAGATTAATATTGCAATATTAAACCACTTTAAGAAAAAAAAAGAAAGAAAGAATTTTTAATATGAAAGAATTGCTCTGAAAATTTTCTCTATGAAATGTTTAGTACAAAAACTGAAATATAGACCCTGAACATATTTTATACTAAAAATCTTTGTATTTTATACTTAAAATCAATGTTTTCATTTAAGACCTTCAGAGCTATTCTCATGCATTTAACATGTTAAGCACCTTTTAATGTTGCCTTCTTTAATACCTTCATAGCATAAAGAGTCCCACTATCTTTTCCAACAACCTTTCTTACTAGGAATACCTAAATTAACGTGGGAATTTTCATTGGCAAGGAAATGGCATTTAACTGCATTTACAATTGTATTTCATTTACTATAATATTTAATACCTTTCCAAAGGATCCTTGGCCCAGAACTTTGAGCAGTTCAAATTGAGATGGATCTGCTTTTTCATGCCCGTCCCTAACTACTTCACGCACTTCTATCTCATGTGTCTCGGAACACCCATTCGAAGGTGGTTCAACCACATTTTCTTGAGTTATCATTACTTCCTCTTGAGACTCTGATGGAAGGATATCTACATCTTGCTGAAGGATTAAATTGTTTGCAATACATGAATTTATAATTGTAACCGAATAATTAACAAACCACAATCGGAACGTTCTTTAACATCGGTCTATTCACCAATTATAAAAATAATTACCTTCTCGGTTACATGTTGCTCAGACCAAGGAACTGTCAAATTCGCCAACGGCATTATATTTGACGTTGTGTTATTATCTGTGAAGTTGTAAATATTTTCGTAAAATATTCTCGCGTGCGCGGCCGTCATAAATTAACATTTAGTTACGTTACAATGGCACAACATAAATCACTCAAAGAAATGTAATGCGCTACGGGAATTCGCGGTAAATTGACAGACGCATCTATGACATATACTTCGGTATTGACCACAGATAACACGTTAAACTAAAGGCATTCAAAACCAGATCTCTGACGCGAACCGGAAACACCTGCTTCGTAGCTTTAAATAAAGCTAGGCGAAATGGCTGTTTTTCAACGAAACTTTATTATGTATGTATAAAAATATAGGGAAGTGGATAAATATGCTCGAAATAATATACGTACATAAATATATTACCTGATATAAATAAAATATGAAATATTTTCAACAAGGGAGATACCGTGTTTAGTAAAACTTTATTTAGCAAAACTTACTTGTTGATCTAACACTGAAAACCGATGTTCTTTCAAATGATGTCCTTTATAATGATTATTTTTTTTACGTTTCTCTGTTGCTGGCCTAAGAAGTCACCTTTATATGTACCTTATCGATTTGTCAACAAACAAGACAAAATAAACTAAGAAAATGTATTGGATATAGATAATGTATAATGTGATAATATATTGGAATTAACATTAAAGAAGTACAATTGTTTTATAATTAAATTAACTATTTTATTATATTATATCAATGTAATTCTATAGGTTTTATATCACATCACTTGATGATATACAAAAAATCAATTTTTATAATCTTTTAAATAAAATTTTCTAAATAAAAATTGTACTCAATTTGTTTTTAGAATAGTATAGTGTGTTGTAACAAGCCTTACTCAGAAATGAGTAGCAGAGTATAAAACGCAGTATTTATTCTATTTGTTGTGAAACACGTTTACATAAAAAATATATTTCTGACATCCAACAAGTGGTAAGTACAACTTTATATATAAAATAATGTTTCTCATTTTTACATATAGATGTCGAATTGCAACGGAGTGTACTCGTAATTCATGCATAGCTTGTGAATGATTCTTGTTTATAACGAACAATTCAAAAATATTGATATAAGAAGTTTTTGAAATTTTCTTGAATTGAATGAATTATACACGTTTGTGATAAGAAACGTCAAAACAAGCGGAAGAAAAAGAAAGAACTTAAACGTTGGCAGCTGTCCTAACCTATTTTAAGATTCATGAAATAGTATAATTTCTTAGCAATTTCTTCTTATTAGGTAATAATTTTATAATAATATGTCAAGTAAATTATTAAATCGTCATTCATGTATATTTATATTTGACACGGGAAAAATTTCTCACAGTATAAGTGACATAACCTCAGCGAAGTGCCATTTATTTATATGAAGCTTTCTCATGTGTGTTATTTTTTTTCAAGAACAATAAAAATGCCATGCTGGTATTATGAGAAAAAAGAATTACGAAATACACCATCCATTCAAGATGGAATTGATTACGAAACAGAATGCAGATATAGGAAAGAGGGTGCAAGATTTATTATTGACACAGGGACAAAAATGGATTTAGGATATAATACAATGGCAACTGGAGTTGTTTATTTTCATAGGTTTTACATGTTTCATTCGTTTAAAAATTTCCCAAGATATGTGAGTATTTGGTGATATATATAAAATGTCAACCTGGGAAAAGTAAATCTTATACATTTTATAAATGTTACACAGGTGACTGCATGCTGTTGTTTATTACTAGCAGGCAAAGTAGAAGAAACTCCAAAAAAATGTAAAGATATAATTAAGACTGCAAAGTCTTTGTTAACTGAACAAAAATTTATGACATTTGGAGAAGATCCAAAGGTAGATCAGTAATATATCTGCTTTTGAAATACTTATTTGTGAAGCAATCTGTAAACAAATGTAAAGCAATCTTTCTATAAATTTTTTAGGAGGAAGTCATAACATTAGAAAGAATTTTGTTACAAACTATAAAGTTTGATTTGCAAGTTGAACATCCATACAGTTACTTGTTAAAATATGCAAAATGTCTTAAAGGTATTGAAATTCTACATATTTAATAAATAATAAATAATAAAACGATATAATAAAAACATCAATGGTATATTACAGGTGATAAAAATAAATTACAAAAAATGGTTCAAATGGCCTGGACATTTGTTAACGACAGGTATGTTGTCTAGTTAGTGAAAATATTATTGTAGTGCAGTAGTGCAGATTAATATTTAATATGGATTTTATTATTCACTTTTAACTTACATATTTTTTACTTGGCTCTTTGACTTCGCTTAATCGCCTGATATTGATTGTTCGACTGATTTCGTTTTTTATTGCTTTTGTATCACAGACGATTAACTTTAATCGTTAACTTTAATCATTTGAGTGTGGGAGTATGATATCGCGCGTCTGTTGTTTTGCTAACAGTATGGAAAACGCGATCATTAGCATTGAAATGGTTTTTTATTATTATAACTATTTTTCGCATTTACGTGGCTTCAACTGTTTTATCGTTTCTCTTACTTTTTTTAAAATGATTGGTCGTAATCATTGATAAATGATGTTACACATATGTGCAACACATATACATACGCGCACGCAAACGTCAAAACATGCGATGTTATGACAGTTTCAGAACTATGCAATTTATTTAAATTTTACAATACATTTTATTACTATTTTTGAATCAATTTAACTTATTTGTATTTAATCAATGTAATCCTTATTTTTTTAAATTGTAGTTTATGTACAACATTGTCATTACAATGGGAGCCAGAAATTATTGCTGTTGCCCTTATGTACTTGGCAGGAAAACTTAGCAAATTTGAAGTAGTAGATTGGAATGGAAGGTTACCGAAACATTTACGTTGGTGGGATATGTTTGTTGAAGATATAACTATGGATCTTCTAGAAGGTTCTCTAAAAAGAACTATTTTTTAAAATATGTGTGTCAGTATGAAAAATATATGATTTATATATATATATAATTTTTTCTTTCTCAGATATATGTCATCAAGTATTAGATTTATATTCACAAGCAAATAATACAAAGCCACCAGATTCACCACCATTAACACCATCTAATGAGCCTTGCAGAGATAGAACTATAACGGCACCTCCCACAGAATCAGCATCTACAACACCAAATGGTAAAACAGAAATATTTATTGTATTTTATTATAACAAATGCAAAATATCTTATTGATGTTAAATTATAGTTACACCAGGAAAAACTATTAAAGTTGAAACAGCTGCAGTCTCCGCAAATGGATGCTTAACTACAGATGCCTCAGAAGCAATTAAACCAATGGATGTGCCAACACATTTCCCAACGTATCCAGCCAATTTTGCACCTAGTAATATCAATTATCCTCCAGCATTTCCTCCAGCAAACGTATCTGTACCTCCACCTCCTGTAAATACAATGAATCACATTGTCCCGCCAATGCATCATATGGGTACTTCCGCTACCATCAGACCTGCACCACCTGCACCTACTACAACACCAGCACCATTTCAACCATATCCTTATCCTACAAATGCGACATATTTTCCTCCAAGTAATCCAGTACCTTCAGCACCTGCACCACGTACATATTACCCCCCACAACCTTAACACATACAAATTTATATCAAATATTTTTGTTTGCGTGTGTCATTATTGGATATTAAGTTAGCATTATCATAAAAATTATACTTAAAATCTTGTAAATATTGTAAATATGTAAGGTTCATAATTGACAATAGTATTTAATTATAAAGCTTTTGTATTATCAATATTTACTTATTTTAATTTCTAATTTAAATAAGAAAATACAAATATAAAACTTTTAAGAGAAAATTATCCAAAGTTTCACATATAAAGGTTGCCTTTATTGAAGTAGTCTTTTCCAGAAAATGTAACATTATGTAGTAGTGTATAATTTGTTAATAATTTTAAAAGCGGTTTTGCAGATAATGAGTCTAGTACAAAACTATCTGTATATAAAACATATAAAATTGAAGGTAGTTCCATAATTTGAGCATATGACAATACTGAAACATATATAAGTTTATTAATAGACATATCTTTGATATATTTTGTATTATTCGAATATATATATATATTACCTCCTGCTGTTACTCCATATATAATATTTGGCTGCTCTAAATATGGTTCTTTTAATTTGCAAATATTCTCCCCATTTGTTGTAGTTAACATTCTTAAGAAAGATGGTACTTTTGGTATATTCTTGTTTTTGTATTCTGATAAATGACGACATGTTATACAAATTATATTTTTTGCACTTGATATATCACCCATCTAACAGATTTAATAAAATTAATGCAAGTTATTAGTATTAAGTACTAGGTAATTTAAGGTAAATTTCCTTACTTTTTCTACAAGTTTGCCTGACAACTTTACATCAAAATGTGAAGACACAACACCTATGTAAAGCTCATCATTGACTTGATAAATTGTATATATTTTCTTCTGTTTTTCATCTTCCACAAAACATATTTCTTGTGAATTTAAGCACAGGCATTCTTTTGAAAAATCTATCATTAAAAACATTTAATAACATGTTCAAAATATTAATACCACCGACAATTAAATAAATATATATTACCAATTAACATTTCACCCTCGATTACAATTAAAGTATCGATACTGGATGGTTTTTCTTTTAACCATCGAATAAAAAATTTGCTAAAATCATCGAATAAAATGTATATAAAAAATATATCTGAAATTTTTTGAATATAGCTAGGTTAGGTTTAATGAAATATAACATACGGTTGATTAACTGAAGATTCAGTGTCTTTATTTTCATCTTCATCGTCCCAAAACGCTCGCGAAACTGGAAATACTACTTCACCAAAAAAACTTGCCATTTTGTAAATAAAATTAATAGAAATCACTTTAAAATAGTCTCCCGCTTGACTTTACTTTTACTACTACGTCAGACTGGATGACTTTGAAAAAGATTATGCAATTTATTTCTTTCCAAAACATTGTATTTCGGATGCAATAAAAGATACAAAAAATACATACAATAATTCATGAAGGTATACAATCAACCAGCTACAATATTAATAAGTTTCAACATTCAGAGATCATCTTTAACACTTATATATGTACCTATCTAAACTATTCATACTACATATATACATATTAATTTTCTATTAAATAAGTTTGCAGTATGGTTGTAGCAATCATATCTTATAATAGTGCTAATAAACAAGATATTTTAGAAACACATATAATATACACATAAAAGATTTTTTATGCTAAGTGTACAAACGCTTTCGTAAGTCATTGCATCTTATTTATTGAAACTTATAAAAGATTGTACATTTCATTGCAAAAGAAATTATATAATTTTAATATTATACAGCTATTAAAAAATTTTTTATTTGTCCGTTGTACATTCTCATATAAAAAGTATAAAAATTTTTATTTTAATGTCTTTATTATAGAAATATACTTTATATTTTATATAATATACTTTATATATCAACAATATCTCTAAATTATGTCTAAAATATATTTTTTTTAATAACCACACTCTATTCATTGTGTCAAAGATTTTAAAAAATGATGTGCTTAAATTTAATAATAAATGTTATGATCATTTCTTTTGGTTTTATACTCCATTAATTTGGACCCTAATGTGTATGTGTGTGATATAATCCTATATAATCCTAATATGATTGAAATATTCTAGAAAATAATGAGCATTGCAATTCTTAAAGGTACAACTTTGTAACATATTTTGGTATCTAAAGGTACCTTTGCTAATATTTTATACATATTATACTCTAAAATATACGGTATAAGATCATGTACTTGACACGTGACGTGTACTGTTCCCAAGCTAAACCATAACGTAGTTTGCATCGTTCATTATCTCTTATTGCTCTGTGCATCAATAATCCTGAGCACATAATTGCATAATAATAAGGCAAAATATCACATGCTAAACTTATACTCGATATTGACCACCATATTATTATATCACCCAAATAATTTGGATGTCTCACATGACCCCATAATCCAGATACTATGAGCTTCTTACCACGGATAGTCGGTATAGTTTCTAAATCTATATAAATGTAAAAGCAATACAAAAAGTAAATTTTGTAGTATTAATAAAAATTTGAATATAGGATGACTTTATACTTACGCATTAATGATGGAGATAAAGGATTTCTTCTAAATTCATTTTTTTGTGAATTGCTAATTCTATATAGCAAATATCCCATTATAAATGCAAGTAGAGGAAAGACAAATAGGTAAGTAAATTGTATTCTGAAATTGAAAAAACATCCCAATAAAATTTCAATTATATAATGTACTATTAGTATTTTTATTCTTAATACTTACTTATGATACAGCATGTACTTTGTTGTAAGAGTTGGTAAAAATGGGTACATCATATAACCGGTGCATAACATATAACCTGTTCCTTCGTACATTACTTCAAAAGTCGTCAGTATTGTAGATTCAAAAACGAGCGCGTCTATTGCATAAATTATTTGCAGTAATGCACCTAATAAAACACCTACATTAAAATGTTCTAAACTATAAGTTTCCGTTTTTTCAATTGCTTTCATCACAATGGACAAGTTTATAAGAATCTGTAATTTAAATAAGAGCATCAATATCTTCATTATCAATATGCATTTCTATAAATAAGCAAGTTTTTTTTAAAAAAATTATTACTATTGCTATCATAGAAGTCCGGAAGAGAGTTATTTTAAAATCCACAGGACCAATTCGTGGATTTATTTCCCTTCCTTGCCAAAAGTTATATATCACACTGTTAGTGGATCCGTGTATGTTTAAATTAGCTACAGGTGCTCTACCTCCTTTTACAAATAACAACAATGATAAAATTGTTCCAAGAATCCAACCACTGATTGAAAATTGTACAGAATTTTGTGTAATAAGATCAATGATTTCTAGTTTCTTATATATACAAACAGCAAATATGATTACTGATAAAAGGCCACATAAAAAACCTGAAAAAAGAATAGGATATAATAATAATTTTAATCAAATAATTTGTATTTGTATGTTTATACATTATATATTTAAATAGAATAATTTAAATAATAAGTAATATTACCATTTAAATGATATTGTAGTCTTCCAATTCTAGTATGTGGTCCATCAATTTTTCGGCCAATCGGTAAAGTCGAAAAAATTATTACAAATAAAAAGAAACATAAATACGCGATAAAAGATTTTAAATCTATATATAACGTTATATCTGTTGGTATCTTAGGATATCCAAATATACATTCATCTTTTGTACACATTAATTGTGGTAGTATTATAATTATGGGTGATAAAATTATAAGCAAAAGAGTTCCAAACCATCCACCCCATTCTTGTGGCTCACTAACCATGCTGATTTCCTTTTTTCGTTTTTCTAATATTTGTAGATTTGTATCTATATTTTCTTCATAATTTAACGTTTTTGACAAATCCTGAAATCAAATATTGATGTATATATACATATATACACATTCGTTTTAATCAATAATAATAAATTATGTATAAAAATCTTACTTGATCTTTTTGTACTGAATGGCCTCTCTCTTTTACGTCAATGCTAAAATCGTACATTTGACTTTTCCTTTCTAACGGAAGTGAGACAGCTCGATTAATATTTCTTGTTAACAAAACCATTTTATGGTCTGATTCAGGTTTTAGTGTACCAGATAACAGTCTTGTTGATCTACGCGTTGCTGTGCTTAATTCCTTCAATCGTGATTGAAGAGGCATTGATTCTACAGCATATTCATCATCATTTACATTTTTCTTATTGATGAGATCATTATCTATATATTTTATGTACGAAGGTATCAAATTAAATATTTAATAATATTATCAAGAAAATAACAGATCATAAACAGATTATATTTACCTTTAGATATTTCTATCCGTGGTAAAGTAACTTTTGCAAATTTTTGATTCCTAGTTGATTGTTTACTTGCAGATGGAGATCTTCCAGCTGAACGTCTATGTGGAGATCTTTTGGCTGATGAATGTCTGGTAGGACTTTTCCTACCTCTACTACTAGCTCTTGTTGTACTTCGCGATGGCCTATTTATCTAAAATTTTGAGAAAATTATAATATTTAAAACGTACAGAATATCATAAGCTTAACAAAAATATTACCTTAATATCAGTTGAATGAACATACTGTTCAATGCCTGTCTCAAATTGTACTTTATACCGTTCACCTCTCATACCTAATATTTTAACTTTATGATATCTATCAGTACTTGGATGTTTTACAAGCACTTCGTCTCCTTCTGAAAACTTCATTTTACACCTAAAAATTAAGAACAGCTTTAAAATATCACTATGTTACATAACAGTTGAATGCATTAGATGTGTTGATCAACTTTTAATTGTATTGTAATTATAATAAAATTACAATTATAATTAATTCCACAAAAAAAAGAAAAAGAAAATGAATCGAATATTATATTATTGTTTACACTGCACAATGAATGAAATTTTGTATAGTGTGTACAATAATTCGTACAATTGAAAACCATCGTACATACGACGATTCATGAATTAAATTCTAACATATGAAAATATTAACTGATATAATTTTTCAACTTACACGTAGTTTTATTCAAATTACAGCAATATCTTCTAATGAAATTCCAGTTAGTTTAAAAATAAGAGAGCTTCTAATCGTAAGGTTATAATTAACGCTTTTTTTTGCATCATAACAACGAAGACGCGCACACGCTATAGCGTTCCGAGATGCATAAAATGCAGACCACGCTAAATAGATGCGCCAATTGCATCATGATCGATTTACAACGAAGCTATTTACGATTTAAAAATGTTTCATAGTGACCAATATAAATTTATATTTTTAAACAAATATATTTTTAAATTATATATATATTTATTATATAGTATTTACATCAATATCGGAATTTCAAAAAACTACTTTTCATTTTTACTTTATTACCAATATAATGTTTTTCATTAAATTTGTTTCCTTGCAGCAATACATTACATTTTTGTCTTTTTTTTTTTAAATCTGAGGAATCACGACAAAACTATCGAAAATAGTAATAGACGAATTCTATATTATTTTATGCAATAAAATGCACGTACAAATCAACTATCAGTGAGTATTTATTGTACAGTGAGTATTATGTTTTAAACTGTACCGTGCTGGTGTTTAAATTTTCGCACCTTTTGTAACAATTTACATTTCATGCAGATTACGATAGTTGTCTCAACATGCTGAAAATATTATCATCGATATCAATTCGCTAAACATATATGGGAATTACTTGTATCAACACGGAATTCAATGAAATAATCATGGACAAGGATGCTCAAGAAGAACAAACAAATCTAAAAGACGAGCAACAATTTTTGGTTAGTTCACATTCGTTTGATATTTCTCTGATGTTTAAAGAATGATTAACACGAATCATTCTATATATCCTGCGGTTTGTGGAACGTGAAATGCTGCCGGAAATGACGTTAGGCAAATCTATATCCGCGTAATACATAAAACATATTAATATTTTTCAGATTTCTGTGGAGAGCACCCTGAACACCGTCAAAAAAAGCATTCATAAATTTATAACCGACGTTCCGCAAGCGCTCGTGAATTCCGGATTAGATTTAGACTTGGAAAAACTAAATATAGAGAATGATCAAAAAATTCAGGATCTCGTTTCTGATCAAACAAATAAGGGTATACGTATCATTTTTTTCTTTTTTTTTTTCATTTAAATTAACAACATTTCGTTAATTAACGTTCTTGACTTTTACAGAAGAGAAAGAGAAAATTTCAGCCCTGAGCATGAAGTGTGATCAATTGCAGGGTCAACTGCAGCAACAAATAAATAGAAACAAAAAGTCACAGGAAGAAATAGAATACCTGAGAGAACAAGTTCGGCTATAATTTAATTTTCAATGTATTCATTAGCATTCATTACGTTAATAGACGTGGTTATTATTTCTGTAGATATTGAATCAAAGTACGTACTGCGCAACTTTGGGAGCGGTTTTAGGAAACTTAACATGGCGCGCATCTCGATTTCCGGAAATCGTCGATGTCTGGCTTTCCGGGGTAAATATTTCTGCTTCACGGAATCGAACGAACAGCACAGCATGGCGTTGATTACTCGACTATAGTTTCAGCATATGATCGGCGAATTTTTATCGATAACGGACGGAAGTTTCGTTGCATTCATAAACACTTACCGAAATGCTTTCCCCCCTACTTGCAACGTTGAATATCAGTTCATAATTGGATTGTTAGGCATTGTAACGAATATATCTGCAACACCTGAGGGACGTGAATTTTTGATCACTGATCCGAACGGCAGAGCTTTCGTACAGAAAATGGTAAAACTCATGCCGACGTTGCCACTTTCGCAGGGCTCTCTGTCTCTGAAGAGGTAACTGTTGCGAGTGACGGTTATATATAATTGATACAATTTATTCATAGTCCTGAATCGCGTCAATGTCTGTCACAGATTGATGCTGATGATATTCTACAATGTCAGCATGAATAAAACCGGACTGCAGCATCTTTTCGAGTCGCGAGTAAGCGACGTGCTAGATTGTTATTTGAGGAATAACTCGTTACCGGATGAGACACAGTTCCTTTGTCTGCGCGTGCTACAGTCGATGACATACGGTCTAACAAATCCCAAGTACATTCAAGACCTGACCAACACCCTGCCGATCAGCAGGATAGAAGATATCGCGACTTCGAGCAAAAACGAAATGAGCGCAGTCGCGAAACAAGTGATAAAACAGTTGCGAGATTCGCAAAAATTCACTCACGTGAATTAAGCGCGTGACTATTCCTCATCGTTCGATAAGCTCGAATTTTGTTAATGAGAATGGAATTTCTATTCGTGCAGTTCATGTTCCAGATTAACGGGAATTAAAATGTTCGGAAGAAGTGCAGCTTGACTTTCGGCCGAAGGACACGAATTTCTATTTTACGATTGTACCGCTATCACAATGACGAAATATTCTTAGCGTTCGTGACTCTGAAAACTGTCGAATATCGATCTGCCTTGTCCAACTACAAAATAAAAGCAATCGTGCGGAATAACGTACGAAATAATACGGAATCAATTACACGTACAATAAAACGTACGCTCGTAATCGGGCGCACAAGTAATTGAATTTAATTGTACAAATAGTTTTTACAGAACGGACTTGCATTTCGAAGAAATGATGACTGAATGCAAAATACTTTTTCTTTTTTTTCTTTTTAAATTAGAGATTCATCGAAAATCTTTATTTAATGCGAACAGTCAATACATAAGGTGCAATGACAGAAGAATGCGCTGGATGCGGTTGACGAACATGTTATTCTAAATTTCATTGAGTATTCGCGACCTTCAACATCGAAGGTTGCGACAACACTGCGGTATCTCCATTTCCGAGAGAAAATTCAGCGTTTTGCATTTGTTCAATTACACGAGTATCTTAAATTGTAATTATCGAATCGTTATCGAAACGTAGGTAAGTATGCATGTACCTGCGACTGTCTATCAGTCGATATACGAAAAAATCGACGCATATAGCTATATCATTTACGTTTTATTCCATAAAAAATTGTTCCAAATATCAAATCGAAGGAAACAAATCCTCTTCGTTGAAAACAAATTTCAATTTTATAGGTAAAGGTTTTAAAGGTAAAAATTGAGAGACCACGGCATACCAACGAATCGTTGCAGTGAAAACCATAAGTTCAGTCGTCGATACCCGCGGGAAGTGAAAGAGAGAAAAAAAAAAAAATCGTGATATTAACAGAAATAGTGATTCAGAGAAGTCGGTATGTCTCGTTATCACGCATCGTAAGGAGACAGATGAAACGGGTAACGAACGGAAGAGAGGAAGACAGAGAGAGGAAAGAGCGCAGATGTATAGACGCATGCAATACCGACTATCGCATCGATAATCGTGCTGCGCAAACTCGTGGAGAGTGAGCCACGTGGGGGCGTGCGCCACAGGAGATCGCGCTTGCGTTTAACGGCCGTTGTACGACGAGAGCGACGGGGAGGGGGACAAGGCGTCGCGACATCTAGCGTCGCGTGAACGGGAGAGAACACGGCAAGCAGGCAGGCAGGACCTAGGAAAGGCGACGGCCGGGCGGTCGTTTTATTGATCCCGGGGCGCCGCGGCGCTACCCACCCGCGGCGGGATCGTCTGCGAGGAAATTCTTTCCAACAGGATTTTCCCATTCTCTGTCATCTAGTTTCGTTGTAAATTTACTTGCCCGAACAGCAGCGACGAACGGTGGTTATTCATTTCTCCACGCAGTCACACACGCTGGAACGCGGACGATCAAACGGGAACGGACCGGGGGAGGCGGTACGTAGCTGGTTCCTGAAAAGTGGATCGAAATACCGTGGATACTAGGT